TTTTATAAAGTTTAAAATCAACTAGGGAAGAATCCTGCGTCGCGGGCGTTGGAGTTGCAGGGGTTGGAGGGTATTTCATAGTCTCTTATTAAAAAACAGGAAATAACAACAAACTTTTCAATGTTTTACATATGTAATGTTAAATGTTGATAGTTTTACAAAGAATCAAATTACAATGCATTATATATTATACGTTTTATTTCTATAAATACAATGGTATATGTTGGTAGATTTTCACAAATAATAATAATAATAATAATAGTAATAGTAATAGTAATAATAATAATAATAATAATAATAATAATAATAATAATAATAATAGTTGTAGTAATAATAATAATAATAATAATAATAATAATAATAATAATAACCGTAAAAAACTAGACATCTACATGAACCTAAACCCAAACTTATAATCTTTTTTCCTATTGTTAGGCTGCATAACACAATCAACAAACAAATTATTTCATGTTGAAATCAAACCTACATAAAACGTTGTTATAATTCATGGAAAGAAAGTTATTAACTAACTACTTGCAATTAAATTAATTCAAAATATATGAGGAAAAGTGAAAATTTATGACAATACCTCTATGTACCAAAATGTTGTTCAACAACTGCTCAAAATTTTCCCAACTGCAATCACAATCTTGGGGATTTGTTTTCTAGATGTGTTGAGTACAGGTGTCAACTCTGTTCTTTTTAATAGTCTTAAGACTTGAAAGGAACACATCTCACAGTTATCGCCACTACATCACACAAAAACAATAAAATCACAAAAACTAATAGTAAGAGTAGAGAAACATATAAGGAAATAAAACACCTTCATCCAAAATAGTAAAACATGGAAACGAAATCATTCAGAAGGGCATATTTTTCCATTTGAAACACACTTTCATTGGGGATTCTTATCAAACACATGGTATGCGCCCCCTGCATCATGCGATCTTCACTAAATTAGTTGAAGCAGACTTCCACATTAAAAAAGTGAAGGTTCCATCAGTTTTGAAAATATTAGAAAAAGGCTATAATTGCTTGAGGTACAGAAACAACCTCTATAATAAATATGATGAAAATACATAAAAAGCAGAAGGTGTTACATACATGTGGCAAATTTCCAGCATTTCATTCCACTTGTTGGATTAGCCACCGGATATCATCAAGATTACAACAATTAAAAAAAACTCACATCTATAAATTGTATACCTAATAAATCCTATTAAATGAAATCAAAAAGAGATCAAATCATATCTAGTTGCCTAAAATTAAAAGTAGAATAGTTTAATTGCAATCATGTATAATACCATTCCCTATTTTTATTTATAAATTAAAATAATTGACCAAATATCTATTTTGACAAAAAAAAAATACACTAACATCAGAAGGTAAGTAAGCAGATATTCTGGTTCAAGCATTTTGTCAAGCAATTATTATGCATTTCCCTTTGCGTTTGCCATCTGCCTAACCTATGAAGACATTTTCCAGAATAGTACATGATAGCACATGCAAGTCAGTGTCAAAGTTGTAAATAACCGAATGTATGATGATCATACAAGAAAAAATATGAATTGATCAATTGAATTATTTCACCTGTTAACTTTTCGGGTTGGATGCCTTTAGATTCCATTGTGTTGATAATCATTTTGAACAAAACAACACTAACATGCGAAACATCTTCAAACCACCAATGCGATTCCGATGTTTGGATTCTTGCACCTGTGTCGATTCCATTCTAGAGAATGCTACCTCCAGGGCTTTGTAAGCAATCATACATCATCATCATTAGCCATCCAAACAAACTCGGGTCCATGCAAACCATTGTTGACATGGCATTCAAGCATTTACTAATTATTTGGAGACTGTCACTTTTTGTTACAATGATTTCACAACTTTAAAGAGCAACCATGCAATCGTTCCAGTTTGTTAGTATATTTTTATGGAAGTAAGTCTCTGTTTTTTAGAATAAGTTATCATCTCCATATTCATCAGCCATTTCAAGATAATCTGACATATGATACACCATAACTATATTTGTAGGTGTAATTTCAATATGAACACCATAATCGAAGTTAGATGCAGCCAGAAATGATGTGGCACCACTAGGAATCTCCTCCTGGATGATGGTGGAACTACCTTTATTGTTATTTTGAGCTTCTTTCATCAACTTTTCTATTTTCCCACATGTTGATAGTAAGGGAAACTGGAGAAATATGCAGTTTAAAAAGTTTGGTATTAATGATTGACACAAGTTCACACAGGGTGAAATTAATCATTGAAAGTAGAGTAAATTACACGAATGGTCCATATGGTTTGGGGTAATTTGCGCGTTTGGTCCCTAACTTTTTTTTAACTCGGAAGGTCCCTACTATTTGCTTTTGTTACGCACTTGGTCCTTACTGTTTGTTTTTATTACGCGTTTGGTCCCTGTCTTACCTAAAAAGATTATTATTTAAATAGAAAAAATTGGTCAGGTAGGTAAGATAATGTGAATGGGATGGGGTTGCGGGTGTGTTTATTTAAATAAATTAAAAAATCAAAAGCAAAATAGTCTTTTTAAGTAAGACAGGGACCAACAGCGTAACAAAAACAAACAGTAGGGACCTTCCGAGTTAAAAAAATAAGTTAGGGACCAAACGCGTAAATTACACTAAACCATAGGGATCATTCGTGTAATTTACTCTTGAAAGTAAGAAGAAAAAGCACACCTTGTGAAGATGGAAGTTTACTCCATCTATGACAATGGTGAAATCACTTGGCAAACTTGCATTACAAAACGTGGCACACAAATATGTAACTTCTTTAAGAGACTCATATATTGGTTACCAAATGATCCAAAAAGCAAGTGAATTTGGAAATCATATAATCTTTAGAGTAAAAGAGAAAGAGTTTACCAATCATTGTCTTCGTTATAGAATTCCAAAGCCCTTTAACTCTTTATATAACTAAGAGTTCCTTTACAACCCATAAAATTAGGGCAAATTACATTACAATCTCCGTACTTAAATGGCTATCTTTTCAATACCTATATAAAAAACCATAATTGGCAAAAAAAAATTTATAATATAAGTCAATGAATTGAACATTCAATCAAAAGAAACACATGAAAATTTGATGATAATTAGACATATATACACAAACATCATGTACACCACATCTCAATTCTAAGCCATCACACTATAAGTAAACAAATTAGGTCAAATAAGCGTAGTATTGTTTACCTTCCGGGTCAAAAAAAAATGAAATATCAGGTTAGTCCTCATGTAAATAAAAACGAATCCAATCGAACCAAAACAATCCCCAATCGATATTACAGGAGGTGGCAGTGATAGAGAAAAAGCAAAAAGGAGATGTAATCTGTAGCACCGACCATTACGACACCACTGATTCTAATTGCCAAATAAGGAGATGGTGCCCATTCAAGGGACGGTGGATATGGTTGTCGATGGCGGAGGCTGTGGCAGGCAGTGTCGCTGGAGATGGGTAGACGAAAGGGAGAGGGAGGGGTGTTATTGAAATGAGAGAGAAGGTTCGAGAGGAAATCAATTAATGAAGAGGCGGTGACGAGCGATCATCTATGTACTTGTGTAATTGGAAGAACAAGAAGGTGGGAGCAGTGAATAACACGTATACCACCAGAAAGGTACAACGAATGAGTAAAAAAAACAACCAATGAGATCAAAGAACTGTTCCATTATATTTTTATTTTTTTTCTTTTAAGATACTTTATAAAATAATATTTTTTTTACTTTCTTTTAGTGCCACTTTTATATATATATATATATATATATATATATATATATATATATATATATATATATATATATATAGTCCGGTATTAAAAGAAAGTAAAAAAATATTATTTTATAAAGTATTTTAAAAGATAAAAAATAAAAATATATAATTTATGAAAATAGAGGAGTTGCAATCGTTAATACAAACTTCCACCGAAGTTAGTACTAATGGGTAAATTATAACATGTTCATTGGTTTGAAAAAGAATTTCTGAATTTAGTATATATGACAGTGAGACACGTTCTGAAATTCTTTCGAGGTAATTCAAATTATCTAAATTATCTATCACAGATAATGTTTATGAGTAGTCCTAATTCCTAAGTTAGACAGTCTTATTACTAAAAATTTCAAAAAAAAAAAAAACAAATTCTTTTAATTGATCTTGGTAATCGACAAGGATGTTTTGAAAAATTTAAAACCAAAGATGCACGTAAAAGTAGTTATTTGAGTAATTAATTTGTCTTTAGTTTCCTAGTTTATGAATAAAAAAGTATTTAAATTAAAATTTTATATACCTTATTTGGTTAATCCGGTAAATTTGTAAATTAATCGGGTAACTCAAAATCGAATAATCCAAAACTAATTAAACAAATTTGGTTATGTAAGTTTGATTTTAAATGATTAAAACACTAGTTAAACTAGGTTGAATAAACCGAAATCTGATTAAAGTGAGAAAAAATCCCAGATTAATTTTTTAATTTTATGTACTTTACTTTGTTAAGATGTTTTAAAGATAAAATTTTCTAATATGTTATTAATTATGAAAAATAAAATGCATTAATTATGAAGAATATTTTTTATAATTAATATATTTTATATTTAATTATGATAATATTTTCTATAACTAATAGTTAAATTAATAGTTGTTATGTGTTCTTAAGTCACATGTTAAAAAAATCCCTTTAAAATACTAAACAAATGTGAAGAAAAATAATTCTTTTTACTTGAAAACTACAATAAAAATTAAGGTTCTCAAAATCCTAAACTTGGAACTGAATGAATAGTTGAAGGTCATAAAATGTAATTAACTATAAGATCTAATCTAATCCGGAAACATTTTGGAACTGCCTTCTATGGATTAATCCATGTTGCAAACGTAGAGAAATTTAAGGGATAAGGATTTGACACTTTCGGATAATATCACAGAAAGTTTCCACTTACTATCTATAAGTACGGCTTCTCTAAACAAACTACAACACACAACACACACAACAGACAACAATCACAATTAACACCATGCCTGCCGTAATGAGCGTCAACGGCAGCAGCTCCGGTGGCCCCGGTGACATACCAGCCAAGCTCACCGCCCAAGTACTTGTATGCTCCATCATCGCGGCCTTCGGTGGCCTCATGTTTGGTTACGACATCGGCATTTCAGGTCCTTCCTCGTTTACGTTTTCATAACAAACCCTAAAGCTACATCCAGAATCTTTCATTTTCATTTTACAGCTTACGTACGCACCCTTATATATTGATTAAAGAATTATTGGATCGGAAGATCCATCGATCTCTGATTCAAACCATCATTTCTTTAGATTTCGACGAATGCATTATCGGTAGTTGATAGATCACCGATCGGACGTGATTTTTCACGCATAATAATTATTTCATTTCTATTTTTTATCATTTCTTAATTTGATTATTGTTATGTAGGAGGGGTGACATCCATGGATGAGTTCTTGGAGGAGTTTTTTCCACATGTTTACGTGAAAAAACACCATGCAAAAGAAGATAACTACTGCAAATTCGACGATCAATATCTCCAGCTTTTCACATCTTCTCTCTACCTCGCGGCGGTGGTTTGCAGTCTTTTCGCATCGAAATGTTGTAAGAGATATGGCCGGAAACTCACCATACAACTGGCGTCGTTGTTCTTTCTGGGCGGTGTCATTCTCACCGCATGTGCCGTGAACCTCGCCATGCTCATCTTTGGTAGGCTTTTTCTAGGCGCCGGAGTTGGATTTGGTAACCAGGTAAATACATAACACCCTAATTAGTTTCATCGATCAACCACATTTATATATCTAAAAAACATAAGCTGAATTACACCCTAATTTAAATTTATACAAGAATATCGAGTCGAGCAATATAATCTTTTTTATTTATTTATGAACATCGTGATGCTGATTTGTGACAATCTTTGCTATGGTAAACACATTGTTTTTTTGGGACTACTTTAACAGTACTGGACTTTTATATATACAGGCTGTGCCATTGTTCATATCAGAGATTGCTCCGGCAAGGTATAGAGGTGGCCTCAACGTCTGCTTCCAGCTGCTAGTGACGGTGGGTATCTTATGTGCGAGCATCGTTAACTATTTCACCGCAACCCACCCACATGGATGGAGGATTTCATTAGGTGGTGCAGCCATTCCAGCTCTTTTTCTTGCAATTGGATCCTTACTAATCGTGGAGACTCCTACAAGTCTTATTGAGCGTGGAAATCCACAACAAGGGCTTGAAACTCTTCAAAAGATCCGAGGGGTTCAAGATGTGCAAAAAGAATATGATGAAATAGTAAATGCAACGGAAATAGCTAAGCAAATCAAGCATCCATTCAAGAACTTAATGAAGCGATCAAGTCGACCTCAGCTTGTGGTCTCGATGGTCCTTCAACTGTTCCAGCAGTTTACTGGCATTAATGTGATCATGTTTTATGCACCCGTTTTGTTTCAAACAATGGGGTTTGGGAGTGATGCATCGCTATTGTCGGCTGTTACTACTGGGTGTGTTAATGTGTTGGCTACATTGGTGGCAGTTTTTGGGGTTGATAAGTTTGGAAGAAGGTTCTTGCTTATTGAAGCTTCGATTCAAATGCTTATTGCACAGGTATGTACATGTCTTCGTTCAACCGAAAACCCTAACCCTAACTGATCATATTATAAGAGTTTTAACTTTTCTTTTTTATTGTTTGATTTCACAGAGTATTACAGGAGGAATACTTGCAGCATTCTTAAAATCTACGAATGTTTTACCAAAGAAGTATTCATATCTAGTGCTATTCTTGATATGCTTTTTCGTATCTGGTTTTGCATGGTCATGGGGTCCTTTAGGGTGGTTGATTCCTAGTGAGATATTTCCATTAGAGACCAGAACGGCTGGTTTCTTTTGTGCTGTTAGCATGAACATGATCTTCACCTTCATTGTGGCTCAAGCTTTTCTAACAACACTTTGTCATATGCGTGCTGGAATCTTCTTCTTCTTCTGTGGGTGGATTGTGATAATGGGAATTTTTGCTTATTCGTTTTTGCCGGAAACCAAAGGTGTCTCGATAGATGAAATGAATGATAAGGTATGGAAGAAGCATTGGTTTTGGAAAAGATACTTCAGGGAAGATCCTGATCAACACGACAAGCCTTGATCATAATTGTAGGATGTTTTTATGTCGTTTCAGATTTTTTTTTTTCTTTTATATTATCGTAAATTTATTTTTATTTTTGTCAGAACTCTTTACTGACCTCGTGGTGTTTTGGATAAAATGTTTTTAGACTTGTGGATTCGTAGTTTATGTTTATGTTCTTTTTACTAGTTTGTGTTTATTAATGTTTATTTTTTGCTATATTTTATTACAAAATGACATTCATAAATACTCACATGGATGCTAAATCCGTAACATAACAAAAATGTGACATTGATTAATACTCACATGCAAAATCCGTAACATAACAAAAATGTGCATCTAAGGGTGGAGGGACTAACTCCAAACCCATCCAATGAGCTTCCTATCAATTTTCTCTCATCCATCTTTCCAAGCTCACAAAACATGAAAATGCTATACTACAAACATGAAAATTAGCGACAACAAACAAGTTCTGCATTATTTGTTGCCGCTAAAGATGTGTGTCGCTGCTAATGGCTACACGTCATTGATCCAATGCCAGAAATTCCACATCATCTCAAACCTTTAACAGTGACGTCTTTACTGGCAACAGCTTGCTGTTAATACTCAAAAAAATACCACCAAAGAATCCCTCCAATGTTGTCGCCGCTCTTTACCCCTTCCATTACCTCTATCCAAAGCTTCCATCGACGTCCAAAGCACCGCCGACCCAAGCCTCAGCACTGGCGACCCACCCTATCATTGAGGTCGTCAATCAACGAAGTTCCAAGACATTTCTGACGACAGCTAACTGTGAGGTTTTTTTTTTTTTTTTTTTTTTTTTTTTTTTTTTTTTTTTTCACACTAAATGTACATGTTGTTTGAAAGAATTTTGACATCTTTGAGTATATTGCCGGAATTTTAAGATCCATCGCCACCAATGCTTTGTCGCTAAAAATTGTCATCACAGCCACCACATAAAAGGTTTTCTTTTTGGTTGTTTTTTTTATATATTATGTATGTATGATGTGTATTTTTATGTGTATGATGCATGTATATATGTAATATGCTGTTCATTTTAATAGTTTGTATGTGTATGGAAACTACAATGATATAATGAAAAAAATGAAAAAACAAAGTACGATGCTATAATGAGATGTGTATTATTTTTTTATATGTGTATTTGTATGTACAAAGAATTATATGTGTAATTTGTGTATTTGTATACAATTTGGAAAACAATAATGCTATAGTTTAAAAAAATGAAATAAACAAAGTAGGATGCTATGATGGAAAGTATTTTTGTATATATTTGTATTTGTACGTATAGAAATTATGTATGTATTTTCTGTATTTGTATTGAGTTTGGAAACTATAATGCTATAGATGAAAACAATGAAAAAAAACAAAGTAGGATGCTATAATGGAAATTTTCATTTTTTTTACATGTGTATTTGTATTTGTGTTGAGTTTGGAAACTATAATGCTATAGATGAAAACAATGAAAAAAAACAAAGTAGGATGCTATAATGGAAATTTTCATTTTTTTACATGTGTATTTGTATGTATAGAAAGTTAACTATATAGTTTGTGTATTTTCATATAATTTCTAAACTACAACGCTATAATGAAAAAAAAAATGAAAAAACAGAAAAACAAAATAGGATGCTATAATGAAAAGTGTATTATTTTTATATATGCAATATGTGTATTTGTATGTTAAGTGTATTTGGAAAATATAATGCTATAATGGAAAAATTGAAAAAATAGTAGGATGCTATAATGGAAAATGTATTTGCATGTATATTTAATATGTTTGTCTATATATATATATATATATATATATATATATATATATATATATATATATATATATATATATAATATATATATATATATATATATATATATGCAACAACACTTAACTTTTAATAACTTATTTGGAAATGACAATGCTATAATGGAAAAAAATAGAATGTTATAATGAAAAAACAAAAACAAATGCCTTAAATAACAAAAATATTATAAAGTAAAATGCTATAAAAATATAAAATATGATACCAAATAAAAAAATATATGCAAAAGTAGAATGCTCAAATAGAAAATTCAATATAATATTTAAAGTACAATGTTATTGAAAACGTTAAACAAAAACAAATGTCATAAATAACTAAAATATTGCAAAGTAAAATGCTATAATAGGATAAACTATAAAACTAAAAATAAAAAAATATAAGCAAAAGTATGGACTTCAGTTGAAAGTAATTTGTAGAGGATGGGCTGTTTGGTAACTGTTGGACTTCTTATGAAAGGAATTATGGGAGCAGGGGTATAATGGGTAAATATTGGAGCTAATTCGAAATTATTTCAAAAGCGAGGGACCAATATTGTCATTATGGAGTGTAGCTTAATGGGGAATCGGGGTATATAACCCGTCACACGCGGTAACAGTAACCCTAAACACTATTCAACCGCCACCCTCCTTATGCCTCCCTTTCACCTCCAGCCGCCGCCACTATCCCACCTGCAGCTTCGCCATCGAAACGCCACCATCACTACTGTTTCCAGACGTCGTGTGTAGTCGGGAAAAACCATCGAGTTCGACGTTGTTATCGTGGGAAGACCGGTCGAAGGTGCTACTATTGGGTCTTATCGTTGCTATCATCACCGACTGCCACTATGAACAACTGAAGCCGCCATCCTTTTTTCTTCTTCCTTTTGTTTTTGTTGCCAATAGCTGCTGCTGTTGCCACCGTCGCTCGTGACCTTCCACTCGCCGCCAACGCCGTCAAATATGAAAACCACCGTTAAGGCGTCGTTTCTGTCGGGGATGTCGTTGTTCGTGTTGTTGTCGTCGACTGTTAACGTGGTTGTTGTTGCCGTTCATCGTATGCCACCAGGTAGGTGGTAGCGTTTGTATTTCATGCAAGAATGTGTATGTATCGATCTATGAGTTACATGACTGGAAATTACAAGAGAGCCACCATCACCACCATGAGGTAGTGGCTAGCACCTTCGACCACCGCCGGTCAGGGTGGTTATGTGTGTGTATATTATTATGTGTGTGTTTATTTTGGGATATAGTGTTGTATAATTGTAATTAGTGACTAGAATAATCAAGGAAATTCATAACCACCACCGTAGGGTGGTGGCAGCCGCCACCAGCTGCCATGTTGGGTGGCAGTGTGCTATGCATGTGTTTAAATTGCTGATGTCTGTGGAATGCACTAGTTTTAATCCAACTAAATAAAACAGAAAGACAAACACACGAAAGGCAATGTACCTATCAATTAGTAGTTTAGTTCAAGTAAGTAAGGTATCGAACACAGGGAACAGTAAACAATTAAGATTATTACTAATATTATCTAAATAAAACAAGTGAGAAAAGAAAGGTTTTTCTCTAGTTTTACAAGACTAGAAACTTAAGAAACTACTTAAACACTTAAACAAATGACAATTAACAACTTAAGGAGAAACAAAAGACAACTAGTTTCAATATTAAAAGAGACTTCTGTTTAGGTTCGACTCATTTGTTTATATGGTTGATGTTATGGCAAGTGCAATGGATTAATTGGCATTGGCTACTGATTAGTGTGATTAGGTTCACATTCGCTATTACTAATCCTTAGAAAAAAAATCAATTTAAGCACTGATCAAGTGATTAAACTAATGAATTTCCTAGCTTATTAATTCAGGTTAAGTAAGACTTGTAGTTAGCTAATCAAATTACTAATTCAATTAACTTCTTGTTGATGGTTCGTCACACAAGCTCACACATTAACTTACCTATTTTCTAGTTAACCCTAGTTTCAAGTTCGCTATTCCTAGGCATATAACAATCTTTTCACACAAATCATATGAGATTAGTAATTAAGAGATGTTCATGCAACTTAATATGCTGGTTAATTAACAGAAAATAGTTGTAATTAACACATAAGGTTCTTTAACAAGCTTAACAAAACAAAATTACCAAATTAAGTTAATCCAACCACAAAATCAAACAATAGCAACAAGCTAATCTACCCTAAACAGAAGATATGAGTTTTTAGCTCATATCTACAGCAAATAACAACATAAATTCAAATTCTAATGATTCAAACATGGTTCAAAACAAAGATTAAGAAAAGAAGAATAATTCTAAATTGCTTCTTATGTTGAATTCTCGAAAACTAGAGCTCCAAGAACCCTTTTTCCTCCAAAAATCATCCAAGGCTTCCCCCAATAGTTAGGGTTCGAATGAGAAGCATATATATATATATATATATATATATATATATATATATATATATAATATTATATATATATATATATATATATATATATATATATGAAAACTGGGGCGACTCGGCGAGTACAATGGCCGACTTGGTGAGTCCATCACGTAAAATCCGTGGACGACAAGTTAGTGTAAAGAATTGCGAAACTTTTGATCAACTTGTCGAGTTGATGGCCAACTTGTTGATTCCGTTTGAAATCATCATTTTCTCAAAACACGAAAGTTGTCCGAAATTGTGTCTAAATTTCAGAACATTTTGAATCTCATCAATCGAAGTTACGGTTCATGAGATATAGCCAAAATACTGACAAGGGGTCAAGCTGTCCAGCAACATCCTTCTTTCTTCAAAATCCAAGATCCAAGTTTCCAATTGCTAAATCTGCTTCCTTTTCCATATGAGGATTTCATTGTTGCTGAAAAATAAAATTATAAACTACTTAAGCACCTTTTGTTCATTAAATGAGATAAAATCAACATAAAGTATTAAGATAATGCATGAATTTATAACTAAATATGTCCATACCAATTTCCTTTAGGATGCTTAGACATGATTGGACTAGAACCATAACCACCACCGTGAGGTGGTGGCTGCCGTTGACCACCATCACCCGAGGTGGCAGTGAGTGGTGCTCGACCTAATGAAACCCTAATTGACCAAAGGAAACCCTACTTGACCTAATGAAACATTAATTAACCTAAATATCTAACCATTGGACCAATTGGGTTGTGATTGAGCTGGAAACCCTAATTAGGGTTTAGAAAACCCTAATTGTGAATTTGTTGGTTTGGAATTATAGGGACCCACATTTTGGGCCATTGGAATTAAATTATGAATTACACCCGATCACACCGTATGATTTACGTAGTAGAATGATGGACTTAATGGATTAAGTCCTTAATGGGTTAAGTAAGAACACTTAACCCTAATTGTCATTTTATGTGAAAACCATAATTTTTCTTGGGCCTTGAGTTGGGCCTCTCTATTGGGTTTTGGTGATTGGGCTATTGATGGGCTAGCCAAGAAGAAGTATATGGACTAGAATGCTTGGATGAGATTTAGGGTAAGGCCCACCTGAGAGATTTGGGCCTAATTTAGAAAAATAATCCATAGATAGGCCATAACTGGGCCTTAATGATCATGAGACATTGGACCAATAGAAATCCAAGTGTTAGGACTAGAATAAATGGTTGGGCCTTAGGGTAAGACCATGTAAAGGTTTGGGCCCACTTTGGAAAATTGGGCCATATGTTAGGCTTTGGTTCATTGTTTGACTTTTAAGCCTTTAGATTGGGCCTTGGGCTTGAATCAAGCTAAGTTGGGGGTAAAGTAGTATTTTACCCTAAGCATGGACTTATGGTTATGTGTTGGTATCCAATAATTAATTGGGTGTTATTTTGACGTTGACATTTTGGAAATCTGTCATCCAGCAGCTAGAGTTTTGTCTGCAGGACTTCAGTAGTGTGAGTGAGTTTTCCTCCAGTAGGAACGG